CGCGGTGCGGGGACCGCAGTCGGACAGCTTGGCCCGGGTACCGGGCACCCGGTTGCTTCTCCTCGCCCAGCTCCCATCAGGGAAGGTGCTGGCAGGAGCTCCTACCCAGAGGGGCATGAAAGGGGAGTAGGGTTTGAGCCCGCTCAAAAACTAAGTAATTTTGAGTGCTCAGAAATTAAATGCTCAGTTAGGAGATTCACGGGCTCTTCTGTGATGTGTCCCGGAGTGCTCTGGGTTGACGGAAACATCTAATTCTTGTCACCTTCACAGTAGGCTTCATTGGTTTCTAGTAAGGTTCAATGTCTCCGTGTGAAATACATGTGAAAGAATATAGTGTGCAGAGCTGGACAGAGTCAAAAGGCTTTCTTTAGCTCATGCTGTTTACTGTCACTTTTTTTTTTTTAAAGTCAATTTATTAGTCTGACAGCTGGTCTTCTAGTGGGCTGCTGGAGAGACTTGGTCACTTTTGGGATGCAGCACAGCGTGTGGCAGACTGTGGCAAACCCTTGGTTCTGCCTTGGAGTGATCGGAATCGTTCTCGAGTTTATTTGTCTGCAAAAGACAGCCGAGGATGCATCTCTAATGAAATCATTTTCAGTGGTTACCTCTAGACTACACTGAGAGGCAGACCAAGTCTGTAATGATTTATCCCTTCTTAATTTAACTCTTGCTGGGTGGGAAGCATCGTCCCTCGTGTTTCCTTCCCTGCTCCCGAGAATTGGGAAGATAGTGTGACTACTGCCAGAGAATTACTCTGATGTAGCATGTACAACTGGGTTGGAGAACTAGAAAGTTATTTTAAAGTAGACGTGAGTACAAAGCATTATCTGTCATGATGCTGTGAGACGTGACACCTTTTTGTAAAATTCCTTAGTTGAGGTGAGGATGGAGGGAGGGAGAGACACAGATGCAGTGTGGCCTTTTGAATTATTATGTGAGGGTACAATAGAAGAGAGGTCATGACTTGCAGAATGGCTTTAGACAACTAAAATATTGAGAAAGTGTCTTGGATGATCCAAGTTTTCCTGTTATGCAGTGTATGGCAATTTCCTCCTCCAACCCCTTTCCGTTTAGACAATATAAGGTGTCTGGGGGTAAAAAGAATATTACATTACATCGCCATTCCATTAGTAAAAATGGAGCTTACGTTTTAAATGCAAGCTAAATTACAACAGCAATATCGTTCTCCTGATTATGTTCAAAGGTGTTGTGACGCTATAAGGGTTTATATATCTGCCAGATGAGTTAAGTAACAAAGCACACCAGAATGTTTAGGAAGGAGTGACAAATTCCTTTCTCATTTCTGAACTTCCTAAGTGACGTTTAACTTCCACCTTTTGTTCAGATGTCTCAGCTAAAACTTTGAAGAGGAATTTGGGAGAACAAGGTCTCTGGGCCCCGATTGAATTTCAGTGGTATCTGGGTACTTGCTTGCTTCTTTGTCCCATATGAAGGAACAGGTCCATGAGGAACAAAGAACAGCTGTGCCTGGTTTGAGTGGAGGGGTGCTGCCTGCTGAGATACTCTGACTCATAAATTGTGGGCCATCACTCAAACTTTTTTCCACTGTAGGGTCATTTCAAGCATCCCTATTCTGTATAGGTTTTTCAGGTTACCTCGCGACCTCATTGAGATTTCTCCTTTTTCAAACTTGGGTTGAAACTGGTCAAATTCAAAGACATTTTGAGAGGAAGGTCAGACAAACACTTTTTTTTGGAAGAAACTGTGCTAAAATGATCTTTCCATAAGGCTAAACTTGAAATATCCTACATAAGGGAAGAATACTTAGACCAGAGAAAGATAGAAAAGGTCACAAGCCAGTTCAGTAAAACTAGGAAGACAAAATACTGACAATGTTTTCTTTGCCGTATTATTCTGCTACAGCAATAGCCTGAACGTTTTTGCTTCAGAGCATGACTGTTCTTCAGTTAGAGAAGGGCATTGGGAACATGTGCTACTGTGTTTCGTTAGAAGTGAAAAATCTATGAAAGCTGATTATTTCAGAACCAATTTGGATTAAGTGAGAACGGACAAGATTCTTTTATGCAAATCTGAAACAAAATCAAACAAAACCCAAATATTTTAAATCTCTGAAAAGTTTGTTTTATATGTGAATATGTTTTAGGGAATAGAGAATATAAATGTTGTTAATAATTAATTATATGAGTGAGATTACCATTTCTGATGTACTTTCTGGTTTTAGTCAGCAATAACTTTGCAAGTGAATGTTTCTGAGGGAGTGAGAACATCATGAGAGAGTATAATCTTTTGGGTTTTTGGTTATGTTTTTTTTTCTTTGAGCGTTAATTAAACATCTGAAACTTTCTTACCATATCAAAAATTAGTCATTGAACCTCTTCAAATTAGCTCTACATATTCAGTTTTGTACTGGACAGATGTTTTGTTAGTATGAAACATGATGCAGTTATAATATGCCAGATCTACTCACAAAATTATTTATGCCTCACTTGAGCACTTAGATGATGGTTTATAGCAGTGCTGTTCACTGGCTTGTATAATGCTAATGGTGTAACGTTCATTCTTTTAGACACTCTTCTCTCATGCTTATCTTTCTTTTAAAGGATATCAATCAGAAGCTGCAGGAAGATAACCAAGAACTGAGAGACCTTTGTTGCTTTCTGGATGATGATAGGCAGAAAGGCAAGAAGGTATCCCGTGAATGGCAGAGACTGGGCAGGTACAGTGCTAGCGTTATGCACAAAGAGGTTGCCTTATACTTACAGAAGCTGAAAGAATTGGAAGTGAGACAAGAAGAAGTGGTTAAAGAAAATCTGGAACTAAAAGAATTGTGTGTCTTGCTGGATGAGGAGAAGAGTGGTGGAGCAGGCAGCCGGAGCTCTATTGACAGCCAAATCAGCCTGTGCCAGTTAACGGCAACAAGTACGTACATAAGAGATGTTGGTGATGGGAGTAGTACTTCTAGCACTGGAAGTACAGACAGTCCAGACCATCATAAACATCATCCAAGCACTAGTCCAGAACATCTTCAAAAAAATAGGGGTGAAGGAAGCCCTGAGCATCAGAAACACAGGAGTATCAGCCCAGAGCATCTCCAGAAGCCTAGGGGTTCTGGCAGTCCTGATCATCACCTGAAAGGACCAAGTCCAGAACATCACAAAACCATTGTCAAAACACCTGAGCAACAAAAGCACAGCAGTAGCAGTCCAGAAACTCTCCCAAAGCACACTTTGAGTAGTAGCCCTGAACACTTTCAAAAGCACAGGCCTGGTAGTAGCCCTGAGCATCAAAAGCACAGCAGTGGCAGCCCGGATCATCTTCAAAAGCATACACCAAGCGGAAGCACAGAACATCTCCACAAAGTGAGGGGTACGAGCCCTGAGCATCTCAAACAACATTTTGGAGGGAGCCCAGAGCATTTCAAACATCTCAGTGGAAGCAGCAGAGAAGGTACTCTCAGGAGACAAGTAACAGATGACCTGTCACCTCACCACAGGAGTATATACAATGGAATGAATGGTGGGTCAATATGTTTAGTGAAAACTCATTTTTGAAAATTACTAAGGTGGTGTCAGTGCTATGTAAACACTTCTGGAAAAAGAATAATATTTAATATGAAATGAAAAGTAACAAGTCTGATGTTAGTATTAACTCATTTAGAGTATGCCTGGTTGCCCTTCTGCCAGGTTTTAGGTGGATTAAAAAAGTAGAGGAAAAAGTGCATCTTAGTGCTTGTGTACGGTATCAAGAAACAACCTTTGGCCTTTGGTAGATGTAAACTGTCCCTAAATAGATTTATGTTTATATTAGGTATCAGATAGGGAGGAGTTATGTATGTTTCTTACTCTGTCTGTATTTGAGTCAACAGAACGGAGGTGAATGTCTCCAATTTCACTCCACCTTCTTAAGCTAGCCTGTCTATAGCTTTGAAGATCTTACAGCTTCCTTTATTGCTAGAAAGCTTCTTCTGTGCTTTTCCATGAACTCTGGAAAAGGTGCCAGATGAAGAGCTAGGCTCAATATAAATGAGTCTGATAGCTCCTGAAGCTTTTTAAAGCCTTGAGTTTGCATATATTTAATTATAGCAAATTAAAAACTAAGGAAGATCCTAAGGGGTTCTTGTTTTTGCTGCCCTTTGTGAAGATACCATATAAACATACTTAGCTTTAAGGAACTGATATCTCCACAGATTGCAATTAACTTTTGTTGTTGTTGTTTTGTCTTTTTTTTTTTTTTTTTAAATGGGCACAATTTCAGTATCTTGGTATTTTGTGAGACAAGTGGTTATGACAATATTGTTGAAATGAATGAAATACAGCAAGTTAAATGATTAAAAACAAAATTCAAATAAACATTTTTCTGTGTTGTTGAAATAACTTTTTATAGACTTAGCAAAATTTCTATAGTCTAGTGCTTTTTTCTTCTACGTGCTCTAAGACGTTTTCATAAAAGAAATCAGCATCTTATTTATAGCTGCAAACTCATTTCTCAGTTCTTTGTATGTAGATTTGAAATAGAGCGCTGAAGAAAGTGAGGATTTTGCCATAGTAAATTTTCTTGGATGGAGTTCATGTGTTCCCATTTTATAAGCAGCTGCGAGAAGTCTTTTTGACATCGTCGGAACGGACTGCTTGTGAGATGGAGACAGGGAGCTTTCTGCCGGGTGCTGTCCTCAGCATTTATCATGTTGCTGTCTCACATCAGTCCATTTATCTTTGATGAATAACTTGCAGAATGCCTTCAGTTGAGATAACTTGCTTTGTAGGTATAAGTTCAGATTACTTTCAGTGAAATGTGCATATATCACAGGGCTGATAACCCCCAAAACGGTAAGTGTAGAGTCTTCAAATTAACTTTAAAACAGGTAATTAGTAAGATGAATGTATGAAACCTATATGAAGATGTGCAACATGCATGTTTTAAAAGTTGGCCTTTCAAAACTTCCTTTAAATGCTATATTTCTTTTTCCGTTCAGTTCTAATAAAATGCGTGAACTACACTGACTTGTAAGTAGCATGTAGTATGGAAACTCAGTTCCTAAAGACTTCTTACTTTTACCCACAGTGTTCATCAGTGTATTCACTGACTATGTAGAAAAGTGATTTTTAGGTCTTAAGTATGTATTTTTCAAACTTGTTCAAGGATACCATTTTTCTGCTCTAAATACGCTGGGCTTTCTGGTATTTTTCGATCCAAATGGTCTTTTTGGCCACGTTAACAGTAGAATGGAAGCAGTTATTACTTTAAACCTGAGAGGACTGAGCCCCTTTGGGCAGGACACTTCAAATATCTACAGCTGTGACTCAAATCGCAAGGAGATGGAGAGGGGAGCAAGTGATTTGGGAGTCTATTTATTGCCTTGAATCAGAGCATTGCCTGTTCCGCCCTTTACATAATCACTTTTGCAGAGGAATTTGCACACCAATAAGTTGTCAAGCCCCTCTTACGTTTACATGATTTGATGCAAGCATGAAGGAGACGTTAGCTGTGAGTTTACTTCTGACTTTAGTCTGACTTTTGGCTCATTTTGGTCAAATACTAAAAGCTCGACAGCTTTACTGTAAGGAATAGGCCTTCAAGTTTAGGAAAATACTTTGTCTTCAAAGCTGGGCTCAACTCCTGCTCTCCTCCCGCCCTCCTTCCTCCCTGGGCTGCTGCAAACTTTTGGGGAACAACAGTTGCACAAAAGTGATAAAAGTGCTGACCAAAATAACTTGTTATCGCTGTGAATGTAATCTGTAAATCTAAATTTGCGTGTTTTGTGTGTTCCTGTATACGTGAGTCTGCCAACTGAGTACAGACTGGGAGCTGTGCTTTGAGCTTGTAACAAAAATCCAGACTTTGCATCTGCAGAGAGAAATGCTGAAATTGTGCAAACGGAGGTAAGAAAGTGGCATGGAAACCTGGCCTTAACAGCATCATTGCTCATCTGAATTTTTTGATTCTTATCCCAAAAATCATATAGTAAGTCTATTATAGCATGGTCTTGAAAACCTGGCTTACTTAAAATTCAGAATATGTTCGGCAAGTAGGCATCTGACTGGACATCTGTTTGATCATTTTGCAGGGCGTTTCCAATGTTACTGCAGTACTTCTGTTACTGCCGTTTGTTTGACCAGCAAGAATGAAACTTTTGTGTTGATAAATGATGAAGAATAACATCTTTGGACTCTTCTGTAGAATAATATTTTTTTAATTATGTAATTGCAGCTTAGCAGGCTCAGTAGAGGCCTGGCCCATCTCCCTTTTGGAGGAGATGCAGTGGCCTCCATTGCCTTATATGGGCTCTGAATCGCGTTTGATACAGAGGAATACCTGCTCCTCTCAAACCTTATTCTGAGAAGTACTATACTGTCTGCCTGAAATTGTTCTTCCCGCTTGGAAAGCATGTTTGCAAACAGCCCAGCTATTTCTGTTGAAATAAGTTTCCATCCATAGCTAATAGCTCCTATTTACTCTGAGTTCTGGTCTTGTTAGCACTTGCATGACCACTGAGAAGCAATATATTCAGTAATATGCAGTTATCTATATGAAAATTTTGTATGTAAATATACAGGGAATGGAGATGGAATCTCTGCAGGCTTTAGTTAAACCTTTAAGCTAAATTTAAAGGTGTTGCAATGTAATATTTTAATGGTATCAGAAATATGTGTAGCTACTGTCTGCATTGCAGGATATGGTATGTGCTTTAATTGTTTGGGCCTCGTGCATCTTTTAAGCTCCCATGAGGTATGTGAGAAGTCATCCTTAGTCTAAAGTTGCCTGTGGTCCATAGGCACAGTTGAAGGAGGAAATTTGTTCGTAATTGTTTTCACTTTCTAATGGGAAAGGTTTGATCCTTCTTTTTTTTTTTTTCCCCCTTCTTTTTTTTTTTTCCCTTGTATGAAACTTCAGCTTTCAGCAGTAAGATTCTTTTTCTAAAGGAGGATGGGAGGAAAGATAATGGCTTCCTCTCAGTGTTTCTCCTACACGTTTTTCTGAAATGGGTACCCTCAACCTTTGGAGTCACAGAAGTGGAATTTGAAAGCTGCATTTGGCTTGATGTTTGTTAGTTGAAAACACATTTTAAAGGCTCTAACCAAATACAAGTTGTGCTGTAGCAGTTAATGATCTTTTGCTGTGATCACTCTTAAAATGTTCTGGTTAATGAGCACAGGGCTGTTTGGGATAGAAAGGTTACTGAAATTAGATAGAAAATAGCAACGGTAAAAACATTTTACAGTGAACACTTATGCAGTCTAGAATAATATATGACAGTCTTTAACTCTGGCAGAAATATGTGGATGCAAAAATATAAATTAGTATATGCTCAGGATTTGCAGTCCAAATGGGTTTTTTATTCTAAGCAGTTTATTGTAGATTTTCTGTTTTAGAAGTCTTTTGTTTTACTCTGGGCTTTGACTTTTGTGTGAAAGGGAAATATCAGAA